AGCTTTGGGCTCGAGCAACACGCGCAACGATTCAACTGCTCATTCTTAATGGTGTTAACCTGTCACAGACAACTGGGACCGGTAACAGTCTAGTATGTCTCGCGGCTAAAGAAGGCCATGGCGATGTCGTCAATTCATTGCTCCGCCACGGCCTATCAATCGAGTGAACGAACGGCAGTGGGCAAAGTCTTCTATTCTTTGCCGCTGGCGGCGGTTCTATTGGAGTGGCCTAGCTTCCTCTCGATGGGGTGCGAACCCAAACCAAAATGACGAGATAGGGGTGATGCCACTTATGATCGCTGCTATTTCGATAGACAATGACAAGTGTCTTCCTCAACGTTCGCCTGCGGACCTGATCTTGCCCGAATTCGCTAGCTTCAACCCTCTCCATTGGGCGGCGACGTGTGAACAGCTGGACTGACCTAAGTGCCTTGTATCTCAGTCTAATATCAACCAAACCTTACGGGCCTGGAATTATATGACTCCCTTTTTAATGGAATTGGCAAATGGCCATAACCGTGCAGCTTGTATAATTAACCGCTTGGTAAGCGATGTGGGCAGCCATCATGTGCTTCTCCTGTCAGCTCTCGTGTGGGTTATGGTGGGCGCAAGGGTTGGTCGCGTCTCGAATGATGCCGGAAGATATGAGAACGATAAGTAAAGCCCCTGAACAGATGGCAGGGTTGCGGGCCATGGCGGAGACTACCAAGAGATGTTTTGAATTTGCTGCTTGATTTCATGTTTTCAATGTTTCAATCATGCTCTTACATCGGTGGACTTTGACAGCTTGGAGCCGCTTAAATATGGTGAACGCTGTATTTCAGATCCGACGAGGCCACCACGCTCCATGCCGCCGTGATGTCATGGTATCAATATAAAACATAGTATGTTTTTGAGACCCAAGTATTCTTGAGCTAGCAGTCTTCCCTTGCCCAGAAATATGCAAGACTTTGACTTATTGAAGCCACGCAGTCTTTATAACGCACTATGTTGGCGCGCTGTGGCCGAGCAACGGCAATTTACGCGCTTTGATGGCTACTGAAGCTGATCCAACGCGGCAAGTTACCCGATGATAATCAATTCATGTTAGCTTTGTTCCTGTTTTGAAGATTTGTCCCATGAAAAGTAAGTTCTTCAAACGTAGAATGCGCACTGGCGTATTTGCTTGAGATGGAGGATTGTTTATGCCCATGAAACGGGCTCAGACCTCAGTGACTGATGATAGCAGACTAATTTACATACAAAACCGTACTACCTTAGAGGAGACATTCAGAAAGGTAGCTGAGATGAAGGTGTATGGAAAATATCTGGACACGAATAGAGAGACGAAGTCAACAAAAGGTGATAAGCCATCTAGTAGAGAGGTGATCGGTGACTATATCATTTGTTAAGAAACCCTCAGGTAACTGGCCGTCACTTGTAACCAAAGCCAGTTCCTAAACATGTCAGTCAAATTTTGTGCATGTAGTATTCGGATTTTGGTCAAGTGTTCCTTCATACCTCCTCGGATTTTCTACTTGCTCGACACGCCGGTCTGATGGACCACCTTTCGTGTGCCCTCTCTTCTGCTAGACTGCAACCCGGGAAGAGAAATCGTCTACTTCTTCTTGCAATGCAGTTTGTATCTCAGAGATTAATGGTCTCTGAAAATTTATTCCAGCGGTCGGATAATGATTGTCTTTAGTCTACATTAGGGTGTCGTGGGTTCATCTTCACGCCGTAACGACTTCTCGCAACGTGGAAGAGAATACTACAAAACCTCGCAGAGCTGTTGAGCGTACTTGAAGTCAAATACAATGTTAGACTTGATTAGTTTTGAAATCTGTCACGTTCACCATTACGACTCTTGATAAGTCTCAACCCAATTGCAAACCAATATATCGTCACACTTCAGTGAAAGGTCTCGTTCCAGGACGCGACGCTTTATTTCCTGGAACTGGATATGGCTCTGATGCCTGATGAAACACTCACATGTCACATCAACGGAAGCCCTTTCAGATACGCTGCCTCATAGCCACACGACGTGAAATTGGTCGTCTTTGTTTACACGCCGCTACTGTCCCTCGACACCAAAGACGTCATAACCTTCAACACGACACCTTGCGTAGAAGGAACCTTCCTGAGTTCCATTTACAGTGGCCGTCTCCCCGGAGAGTGCTCCGAATCCGAGCAGCATGCTCCAACGCCCCTCCCGCAGATCCCTCTCTGAACACACATCATTCGATGCCTGTCGTCCATCAGCTCCATCCCGTGACATGGCCCTTCTGTCTATCCAAATATCAGAAAAAAGATGATCCGCATATCGCACGTTTCAAGTCCCTGTCGGCAGTCTCCGCTCTCTCTCTCTCTCTCTCTCTCTCTCTCTCTCTCTCTCTCTCTCTCTCTCTCACCGCATGGGGTGTACGAGATGCTGCCCTTAGCCGCGGCGTCGCAACCGACCGCTGGCAATTGACGGATCTCACAACGGAAACCCGCAGCACAGGCCGATGAGAAGACGCAGACGCAGCCCGTGACAGCGACACGGGGGCAGGGCATACAGATGCGCAAGGTGCCGTCGTCAGCCGAACGCGAGTCATCCATCAAACTTTACCCTGGCGTCACTCTTCTGCGCTGTGCATGGTCAGCCTCGATGCTGTGCCGCGCTGTGCCTGTGCCTCGCATGTGTCCCCCCCCTCTCTCTCCCAGGCGCAGTGATGCTGCGCAATGCATCTTTCCACCTGCTATCCCCACCCTCGCGCGAGCAAACACAAGGCGGACTAGCTCCGTAGTGAGCGACGTCCAACGTTTGTCATGTGGACCGTTCCTGCAGCAGCGAACCGCCTCGTTTCCCAGAGCCTGAAGTGTTTCTTGGTCTCGAGAGAAGGGATCGTCCTTCGCGCTCTGTGCTCCTCTGGCGGGACTGTCCCGTTTCAGCGTCAGAGGTAGTCGACAAGTATCGGCATGTACCGGTGTCTTTTGAAGCTCCTGTGTTGCGCCCCTCGTGATACAGACGAAATGTGACGCATCGTTTTCCACAACGCCATGTTTACCAATCCGACGCGACCAGCACGACGAAACTCATCCATTGGGTTTTCCCACAGGTTGCAGCAACGTCTGCCATGCCCCGGTATTCCACCATCCAGACGTGAAGGACAATACATGGCAGCATGGAACCCCCTCCCATAGCGACGACCACCGCTGCACACTGACCTTATCGCCATACCGTTGGAACCCCGGCCGAATCGGTTGAAAGTGCCACAATCCCCGACGTCGCATCACCCAACCCTTCCCCCTCCCTCCCCGTCACATCTCTCACTCTACAAGTGATACCGACAGTCCGGCTCACCGCCACGCTTCCTCTTCGTCCCAAGGGCATGGCGGGGGCCGCCATACTGCCTGCCAGTGAGTGTAACCCCCCGCATCCTGCCACCGATGCCCTGAGTAAGCTCACTCGGCAAGGAGGGAAGAAGAGGGGGGGGGGCGGAGGATGCCCTTGACCCAGATCCTGGCCCCCATCACCATGGTCCCCCCGGTGCTTACGAACGGTCCCTCCGAAAGACCCAAGAGAGGTCGAAGACGACTGCTAGCGGCATCGATCGACAGCTCCGTCCTCGATCAGGCACGCCCAGCCCCCAAAACGAGCCACCATGGTGTTCTTGAATTGGCACCACGGCGAGGCGTTTGGCAGTCTATTCACACGCAGCAGTATAAGCCACATCCAAAAACAGAAAATAGGAAGATGCAAACACCACAAATCCTGCCTTTCGAGAAAAATGGCATCCCATCGGGGGCACGTCAAACGAAGAAAGGCTAGCGCACTGCTCCGCCGGTCCGCCTACACCCACGACGCGTGCAGGCCAAAAAAGAAACAGACGCCGCACGCACGACAGCCTCTGTGTAACCTTAAGCCATGCAAGTCCGGTCACCTGGCCGTGCCTGCAGTCCAGCCTCGCAGAATAGGTCTGCCTTGGACATGCATCCGTGCCCCTGTACCCTGTCCAACACGCCCCGGGGCTGCTCACGATATGTCACTACTCACCTGGCGCTCACCTGGCGCTCACCTAGACGCATGGGGGGCGGGGGGCAGTCTCACCACGCCAGCCTCACCTCAGACCGACGGCACCACTTCGCTCCGTAGGCAAGAGGGGAAGGGGGCCGGAGGTAGCCAGGATTTTCCTGCCCCAGTTTCCCTGGTATGGCCGTGGCGTCCACGGGGCGATGCCCCCCCCCCCTAAAAGTCCAGTTCCGTGGCCGAGACATGGCGAGGTGGACGAAGGAAAGGGACGTCCCTTTCCCTTCCCGCCCGCCCGTGCTGACGAAGAATGCGACATCTCGATGGGGTCATCTCACCGCTACCAACACGGAATATGACCTCAGCTGATGGAATGGTATGATATGATATATGCTGGGTCACGGCTCGAGACAGAAAGAGAGTCAGGGGGCTTGCCTGCGCCATCGAGGTCCAGGCCTCGGCGTGTGATGAGGCACTTCAGTAAGAACCCTGTCGGCCATGGATGTTTGTTTTTCGTCGGAGATTGTCTCGGATGCCTCGCGAAGCTGATTGAATTCGGGCCTGTGCTATGGGGTCCTTATGACTTGCTTGTACAATGTCGTCGAGATGACCCGAAGGCAGATGGACGTATGTACCGTGATGACTGATGGCCATCCGCCGGATCACAAGACCAGAGCCCCCATCAGCAATGTCCCCGCCCCCCTTGCCATCCGTATCTCCTGTCAAAAACGACAAGACACACCACCAGCGTGACACACTGTTCGTTTAATGACCACGTCGCGCGGACCAGGGACTGTACCACAGGCATGGTCATAGGTAGTACGCTGCCAGCTAAGCCCTACCGGCCCATGCCATGCGGCTCCGCGATAGGTCTTGTCCGTTGGTCGTCCTTTTATGCAGACCCCCTCCGAGAAAAGAAAAAAACAAAGGGCAGTGCATGGCATGCATGGCATGGCAAGGCAGCTGAGTCCCAGGGAAAAGGGCCGCAGGGCTCTGGATCTCCCGCATGCCACGGACTGCCGCCCCATCCGCGAAACTGACAGTTACACCATGCAAGCAGCCAGAGTCAGATGCCTCGCTCTGCCGTGTATCGGCACAAGGAGACGTCCGTCCGAAGGCCACGAGACGCATGGCATGCTGTTCGCGAGGCCAAAAAAAACCCCTGATAGTTTCTTTTCCGTCTGGACTGTTGCTCGAGTCCGCCGGGAGCGCATCATAAAGTCGACCGGTGAGTCCAGAGCCGCAGCCAGACTTCAGCTGGGCCCCCGAGCACGGCAGACGCCTCCTGGGTTCTGGAGACTGGGGCGCGGCCCAGTCCAGGCCTCCTCCCGACCGGGTCGAGTCCAAGTCCAGGCCTGATGATCTGATAGCAGGCTTCCGGACTTTCCCAGACTGCATGGCGCAACAGACCTTCATCAACTGACCGACATGTCGTGGACCAAACGGCAGACACCCGAGCCAGCCAGCCAGGCTACACCCCCCTCCTTTTCCATCCCCTTTGATTCAGCTTGCCGTCTCTTACATGCCGTCGTCGTCAACAACGGCACCGACACATCTTCACGCCGGGCGACGCAAAAGAAGCAGACCACTCCACAGCATCTGCCTCGCGAGACGGCGCCGAGCCATACCGTGCTTGCATCAAGAGAGAGTGTATGTCTCAGTGCCAGCTTCCACAACCAGCCATGCAGCTTCTCACTCAGCTCAGCACACGCCCCTCCTCCTCCAGCCAGCTTTGGCAGCGCATCGACGCTGATTTTCCAACGACGCTCAGCCAAAGGGTAACTGCTTCCGATGTACATCGGACCATGCTGCTTGATGACGGCGCGACGAAAAGACGAGATGGCTCCGCACGCAGGGCGATCGCTGCGGCAGGTCACCTAGAGGCAACCTGCATATGCTGACGATGCTGCCTCGGCTGCGGGATATGCATGCTTGCCCAGGGGGACAGACCACGTCGACCACGAGGCCTTTTTTTCTAGCAGAGACCAACTTTCCTTTCGTGTCTCGGTCATGGTCAATGTTTCGATACTTGTCAGAAGTTGGCCCAGCGCACACAATGGCTCGCCCCCTTCTTCCTCGGCGAGGTCACATCTTGACGCACGTCTTCATTTTTGGACCCAATGCAAGCTGTCAGTGACAACTGACGACAAAACATGAAAAGGTCCCCGGGCTCGCCAGGGCACTCACTTCACCACCCCCCCCCCCCCCCCCGAAATCGAGCAGGGAGGGAGGGAGGGTGAGGGGGCCTGCGTCGACTGACGTGGCAGTTAACCTAGCGCGAACGCAACATGAGCGGCAGCGGCAGCGGCAGCAGCAACGGCATCACGAGATCATTCCTCTCGCAGCGACCGCATACGACTTCTCACCCACCGTCCAGCCCATAGACCAGCCCAGCTCGCGCGTGAGTGAGTGTGTGTGCGCGCGCGCGCGAGGGCACCCTGCCGCGCTGCGCTGCGCTGCACTGCACTACAACGGCAGGCGCATGAATGACCCGATCGTTCGCTGCTCGTCCCTCTCAACGGACGGATGGGCGCCTCTCGTCACTGGTACCGACACATACATCTCGCACGTCTTGTGCCTGTCTGTGTCTCTTCCTGTGACCCCTGTATAGTGGTGTTGGCCCGCCCGCGCCCACCCCCCATCCCGTCCCCCTCAATACACTCCCACTCCATTTCCCTCCCGTCGGCGAGACAAGCGCCTGTGATCCCCGCGCCTCGTCCGCCCGATCGGTGCTCCATGGCTTTTGAAGACCAGAGACATGCAGCTTGGCGACCATGGGGTGGGGAAGAAGAGGAGGGAAAGGGGGGGGGGGAGAGTAAAGGGATGGGCCACAGGGCAAAGATAGCAGCAGCCACAAACAAAGACAGCCAACGCACGGGCGATTGCTATTATGACAGCTCACAAAACACACACAGTGACACGAAAGGTAGACAGACAGATACAGTAGGGAAAGCAAAAGAAGAATGTCTGGCACAGGCCCCCGGACGCGTGAGGTGGTCCTCATTAGCACGCCCGCCGCAGCCGACTTGTTGCTGACGTGCGCGCCGGCGGGCAATGAGGAGAAGAGGCTGCTGAGAACCAGGTGACTTCACCCGGCCGGGCCATCTCGCGTGTCCTGGCCACTCCCCCCTTGCTGCTTGCGGTGCTCAACCAGTGCTGCTCACGCATGGCCGTGCCATGCGTACCTTGTTTTTCGCCAGAGAGAATGATGAAGCATGTAGCTTGTCGGTCAGATAAAGCATACCAAGGCGCTAGGTATGAGAAGAAGGCTTTTGATCGAGATGAGCTTGGATAGGTAGTCACCGAAAGCAGCTGTTAGCCGGCTTCTAGTGTGTGTGGTGTCCGCCATCAAATCAGCCGCAGACATATTGGCTCCATGGCCAGAACAGGGTCGAACGCGTCCCAATTCTTCCTCTTCGACAGGTTGCGCTAACGACAGGTCATATATCAGGTTGCACGGCATGAGACAAGGCGAGCGAGAGATAGAGAGAGGGAAAAAAAGAGGCAGGCGGGCAAGCAGACGGGCGAAAGGGCCGCGTGATCGTCGGTGAGGCGGCGCCAGCCGTCAACCCAGCCATGCACCCTCACCGACCTCACCGCATGCACTTCATGAAGAAAACGACCAGAGCTGCAGGGCGCACGGGTATGGTGGCACTGACTAGCAATTTGGACCCGAGCGTCCGCCTGCGTCCGTATTCGCCGACCTGAGCATAAACCAAGTCCCTGTCAGCTGCATGACATGACATGGTGGGAGAAGAAACGAGCCTTGTCGAGGGGGGGGGAGGCTCGACAGGAAATGCCGAAGTGAGAGACAGAGACAGAAACAGAGAGAGAGAGAACAGCGCCTGCCCGAATATGGCCAAGAGACCGGTGAGTGAAAACGGCGGGCAGAGAGTCGAGGGAATCATCGTGGCCTTCACCGTACAGGGCCCAGGCGCAGACCAGCTAGTAGCCCAGCGAGCCCGGCCACCATGTCTCGTCGCTCGACGCAGCCCCAGTACACGCACTGCGCGCGCGAGCTGCGTGAGGTTGTGTGGAGTGAGCCCAGATGAAGACTCTCGAAGACGCGCGTTCGACAGAATGAACACTGATGACTGTCTTGATCCGGGTCCCGGCGACTAGCTCCAGCTCCAGCTCCAGCTCCTGGCCATCCATCCACATTGACGAGGGCCTCATGGGCAGCGGCTCGAACGAGGCTTTCTCGGCCGACTCCCTTCGTCGTCCTCGGCTTGGACCTTCATTGGAAGGCAGGGGTTTTCTTCTTGGCCTTTGGCTACTGAGTGAGTTGCACAACACGGACGATTTTCAACCCGCCGTGTCCGACGTAACATGCGACCCCGACGTGTAGCCAAGCAGCCAAGAGGTGGGTGGGTGTGAGTGGAGGGGGGATCTTGTGGCTCGGGTCGTCAGGCCAAATGTAACCATGACAATGAGAGGCCGAAAGGGTCGTCGTCTGACCGCCAGCTTTGACGGTGAGCCAGGCCAAACTCCGGGGGCCTCAGGGCCCGAGTAGGGGCCTGTCTCTTTTCCGCATCGTGACTACGAGACTTGTCGAAACATGCATGCATCTTGGCTGAAGAAACAGTACTACACGTTGGGTAGGTACCCAGGTACCCAGGTAGCCTGGCAGAGTGGTGCGCATGGTATGCGCTCTGTTGCTTCGCCTCGTCTCTCGTTCTCTCCGTGAAGGACGGGAAATTACTCTGGTGCCTGGTACACGAACTTCAGATGACAGTGAGCCCTGAGGTCCACTTGATGCGCCGCAGGGGGAAAAAAACATGCGCCAGCGCGGCGGAGAGTGGCACAGAAGAGTCCCAAATGCTGGAGCCTGGAAATCGACGATAAGGGGGGCGGAAAGTGAGCCGTCGGGCGACTGGGAAGAGGGAGGAAGGGAGGGAGCCTGGTTACAGGGAGCAGGCCAGGCGAGTGAGCAGCACGAGGACATGGGGTGTGGGAATCTAGCTGCCCTTGCTCCTCGAAGTCACCATCAACCCCGTGAGAATCGCGTTCGTGGCTTGCACTGCACCCAGGCGCAACGCACAGAAACACTCCCACTCCCGCGTCACCCCCCCCCTTCCCCCCTCCCCTTTCCCTCCACCCCACCGGGCTGAGACGACAGCCTCCAGCGACTAGGGGGGTAAATCCCGAACGGCAGGGCCAGTTGTGGAGAGATCTGCATCTGAGACCAGGGGTCAGGAACACGACGAAAGGCAGGAGGAGGGCACAGGGATTGTAGAAGAATTCCAGA